GGTTAGGATTTCTTAAGCAAATCCACTGGGCTTTCAACATACATGAAGCCAGAAAAAAAATCGGGACTTTTTTAAAACGCGGAGGGACACGGGAAAAATTGTTATAAAGCGTGATTGTCACGCTGAAATCGGGTCATCTGGTCACCTTATGCTAGTCATTCCCGGCTTTAGGGGGCAGTGCTCATCTCCCTTTCAAAGCCGAAGAGCCAGTGCTGTCTGAAGAAGTTTCCATGGTTATGTGGCCGGCATAACTAAATGCCAAAGGTGCACGGAACGCTGTTACCTTCTTACCAAAGGTGGTTCCTATTTTTCTATTTGCATTTTTACGTGCTTTCGAACTGTTAGGTTGGCCGAAGCTGGGACAAGTAACGGGAGCTTACTCTGTCACGCAGCGCTAGGGATTTGAACCGCCGAACTACCAACCTTTCTGATTGACAAGCTCGGTATCTTAGCCACTGAGCCACCTTGAAATAGACAATAGTCTATTTTTATTTCTGATTGAGGCTTACCCATAGTTCTCTCTTTGAAAAAGCATCTGTTCCGCTTGTTTATCTTTTGAATTAATTAATTAATGCTAAGTCACATTGGCTAAATCCTGTAGAATCACATTTATAAGGATTCTTTTTTAATATCAAGAGTTGATCTGATTCAGAGTATAGAGCATGTCAACTGATGGAATCTGGATAGGATGTCAAGATCAGGTAGAATTAAATGGGCCATCAGGACTATGAGGAAGAAATGGGGACTAAGTGTCTGACTGGGTTCATTCATAATGCTTAAGTTGGGCTTACTGGATAAACCCCAGTTAACGGAGTTCATGAAACATATTCAGATGAACCCAAGAACAAATTAAATAAAAATGTGGTGTTAGATGGGTTCTGATTTAGCATGTGTGAACTCAGCTATGGTAGTTTGTAAAGTATAACACAGCAATTGTGGTTATGAAAGAAACCATGGTCATATCAACATAGTGTAGATGTGTGAACTTATCTACTAGAGGAAAAAAGGAGTAATATCAAACAATATTTCCTGAGTGGGATTATTTCACTCACACTTTTCTTAAAAGTAGCTGTCAAAGTACAGTTTTCCTATAGCCTCATAACATACTTACATTGAACCCTTACTTACGCAATGCTAGGCTTGGTTTGTTTTCACCTTAGTGCATTTTTTCTGCACAAGAGTATTGTATGAACGCAACCCGACCGGTTAACGCCAAGCATTGTGCAAAGTGGAACACGGATTAATGCAAAGCCTGTTCTATAAACACCATAGAAAATGGAGAAGTCATATTTGACATCTCACTGCCTTCAATCCAGCTCTCTGACCTGGCTTTAAAGTCAGCCTCCTCCCCAATTTAGAACAGGAGTGTCCAACCTTGGAAACTTTTAAGACTTATGGATTTCAACTTGCCAGGCTGGAGAATTCTGGGAAATGAAGTCCACAAGTCTTAAAATTGCCAAGGTTGGACACCCCTGCTTTAGGATAATTGGCTCCATCAAAGAGGACCACTAATTGTCTAGACCAGGGGTCTCCAACCTTGGCAACTTTAAGACTTGTGAACTTCAATTCCCAGAATTCCTCAGTTAGCAAAGCTGAGGAATTCTGGGAGTTAAAGTCCACAAGTCTTAAAGTTGCCAAGGTTGGAGACCCCTGCTCTTGAGGAATTGCTTTGCTTGCTGAAGAATTCTGGGAGTTAAAGTCCACAAGTCTTAAAGTTGCCAAGGTTGGAGACCCCTGGTCTAGGACATGAGTCCCCAACCCCTGCAAAACCATGCCCCCTCTGGTCCGCAGAAAAACCTCTCCATGGAACCAATCCCTGGTCTAGGACACAAAGCTTTATCTTCCAACAGAAGAACAAATCAGACAGAAGATCTCCTTCATTTATCTCAGGAGTGAACATCCAGCAGGCCCAAGGACCATTTAACCATAGTTCAGTTGTACCTTTGTGAGAACTATACCAAACTGGTACAGTATTCTTCTGGTACTTGAAGATTATTTGAAGAGACTACCAGAAAATCCAAGGGCGGTACTATATTGAATTTCACTGGTGTAAAATGGGGAAAATAAATCACAAATGATAGCAGTGCCACAGTGTCATTTCGTTGCCATGAATGCAACGTGGATATCTTTGAACCTGGGTTCAATTCACAAGAGTGCTTCATTCTTTCAATGCAGCTGTCCAATCTGCAATTATTGGTAGATTTGTGCAAGGTGGAAGGAGAGGAAGGCATCAAAGACCTTGGCAGCCGATGCTTAAGCGTTCTGGCTTAGAGACAAATCCTAGTGATGACTCATCAGCTAGACACAAATGTTGGGTAACTTTATCAGGATCAATGTGCAGCAACCTTATTTGACAGGACATTACTCAATTTGTACCAGGTCATAGCTGAGCCACTTCAACCAACTTTCTAGATGTCCGTGATACTACTGTAAAACCAGCCAACATTCTTCTGTCTTTCCATTTCTTTTCCGTGAGAATATTTAGAAAACAGTGAGCAATAAAGACCAAACTTTTCTTGGATTTACCAATTTCTTTATAAAATCATCTTTTTACAGGAACTGTTGCATAAATATTGGTCATGCCAGAATAGGGTGCAGTTTTGCTTTTAATAGTTCCTGTGGGATACAACGTTTGAATTGCTTATATAAGAGAAATAGAATTGTAAA